AGTCTGATATTATCCAAAAAAGTCGGTGGCAAAGTTCAGTCCACATACCCGAGCTAGATAGGAGGAGGCTCACATCCCTCCACTAAATATAAGAAAACGTGGCTCCAACTTAGCGCACAAGGCAAGCAGCAGCCTCAAGTCGGCGTAAATCTGCCACCCAAGGCCACCCACGTATGGAAATGGGCACGCTCACTTCCTGGCCACGCCTACGGTGGCCCACGCGAGTATTGGCCCCTTGTCCGGCCTTTTTTACTCTCTTTTATTTCTTCTTCTCTACCGTAATATAACTTAATCACGACAACATAGACCTATTGTCTCGAATATATTCCAGTTTTCCTATATATTAATGTTGTCTACTGGGATTGATCAGTTGTGCCATACCATTCACAAGAGTCTGTCATTCATACAGATATACTGTAATATATAAGATTTAAGGGAAAAAAATATTGTGAAAAGTATTGAAATTGCAACGAATTTTTCACAATGATTATATATACACTCATGGACAAGACTTAGGGAAGTTGTACCTTTTAGCATGTATATCAGGATTCAGATAATAATTCTGAAAGATATTAGAGTGACCTTTATTGAAGACACACGAGATAACCAAATGTGAACAAAATTGCCTCTGTCTTCTTAAAAAAAAAAAAAACCAGATGACCGGCGATATTAAAGACTTTCCACTTCCTTAAGTTTTGTCCATATATGAGTGTAATACATATTTACATATATATTATAATCTATATTATAAACCCTATATGTGAGAGCCCAGAGAAGGAGTCTCCAGGCAGAAGAAAGAAGAAGAAGAAAGAAGAAAGAGAGGATGAAGAATGTAAAGATTTGGAGTCATCTTACCAGACAGCATTAGAGTGTAAACTACTCCTTTAATACTGTCAGGTAAAGATGTGCCCAAATCCTATTGACTACACAGCCGGGGAAGTATATAAGGTAAGTACACAATTTCTGAATAACTCCCTCTCTCTCTGTTCGCTTCCTGCGATCTGAAGGTCTGGCTGGCTCTTCGGCCTCCATCCTGAGATAATCACAAGTGTGGAGACCATCTGCACGTACCATCTACACGTGCCAAAACCATGCTATACAGGTTAGCTTTTTGTGTGAATTTACCAAAACTGGTTTTGTAACTCATTCTTTATCATTACTGGTGAAATTTTTAACTAGGGAGATGCATAGTGCCATTTTTTCTGATGCATAATTAAAGGGAGAGGTGCCTTTTTGGTACATATATGTTATGAATAATTTTGTTGTTGTTGTTAGATAAAGGCTTGATAAGACAAAGGATCGATAAGATAAAGGGTTGAGGTGCAATCGTGATAAAAAAAATATAATTATTTACCGTCAAGTAGCTTTTATTTTCAATTACTTGAGGAAATATTACACATTAGTTATTTTCACATTATATAGAATTTATAAAGTTAATCATATATTAGTGATTTAAAAGGATAGATATGTTAACTACGCATATTTACAACAAACTATACAACAAAAACTGAAAGTCTTTCTAAAAAACGATGATAACAAAAGTAAAATTATCAATGAATAAAATAAAATATGTATTTTTTAAAATATAGAAATATTTGAGTTTTAGATTATATAATATAATATATATATATATGCAGTGATACACCTACCATCTTTGTCTTTAGCTGGGGAATACCAGCCATCACATCGACCTGCCCACTCTGTTGGAACAACTCTCGCAGTCCATCGGTGGCGGAGTCTTTCCTGCAGTGGACGCCACCAATGAAGACTGTATGTATGTTATAACAACAAAATAGAAATGAATGAGATTTTCTGTTGTATTTTGATTGTTGAGGATTATGGTAATGGTGATGCAGTCGTGGTTGAAATAATAATCTTGAAAATATAAAATCTTGATCAGAGATTTCTTTATTTGAGCTAAGGGATATATATAAAAGACATAATTTTATAAGAGTAATGCCTGGCTTGAGGCGAGTAGAATAAGGAAAAAAAAAAGATTATTACATAATGTACAAAAGTTTTGAGTCGGCCATTGGGATAAAACAACAACGAGTTTTATAGGGGAAGAGTGATCTCTGGCGGTCGATTTTACAATATTTGAATCTATGATATATATATATTTTAAATAAAATAATATTTTTATATAACATTTCAAATAAAATATTTTAATATAACATGTATATATAAATATTCATTACCGTGAGAGGTACCTAGCCCTTTATTTATGCACAGAACGATACATTATGTTCATCTATACAAGTTAAAAAATGTACTAGTGGTAATGAAGAATAAGCCATAAAACCAGTTTTGGAAAATTCAGACAAAAACCAACCTGTATACCTTGGTTTTGTGAGTTGTGGTTCTCATCAGTACAGGGGGGACTGGATTTTCCGAAACTAGTGTTGGGGCTAATTCTTCATTACCAACAGTAAAGTTGTTTTACTAGAGTCATAAATATAATGTATCGTGTTCTGATATACACCCATACCTCGCTTTGCGTCGGGGTTAGGTTCCAAAAAAAAAAAAAAACACGACGCAAATTGAAACGACGCAAAGTGAAAATAAAATTTTGATGGCATGACGCAATCAAAAACAAAGGTGTTGCCATATTTTAGGGGAAAAAAAAAAATTAAAGACTCGAATCCAAAACAACGTAACTTCGAAAATCTAACGACGCACAGTGAAAATCAGTAAAAATTAAGCAGCGACGCAACTTCGAAAAAAAAAAAAAACGCAAAACGAAACGACGCAAAGCGAGGTATTGGTGTAGATATATAAAGGGACTCTCATGGTAATGAATCCTCCCACAACTTTAAGTTATATAGATTGTAACACTAGCCGAATGACCCGGGCAACGCCCGTGTTTTACCCGATTGAATGTTTTTATTCAAATACTATTTGTTACAATTATAAATTGGCGCCTTAAATAAATGCATATATTAGTTAATAACTATAGCCTATGTTCTTTATCTGTCTATGTACTGTTGGCTTCCGTAGGCGTCTCTTACTGGGAAAAAGAAAGGGAGGATTCCATTTAGTTATTAACTAATATATGCATTTATTTAAGGAGCGACCCGCTCCAACACAATAGTTACAAAAACGAAAAGCGAGTGGGGGGGGCAAAGGTGGCGTGATCGTAGCCAACCAATAGGAGGGCGCCATTCCAAAAAAAAAAAAAAGCAAACGGTGACAGACATGAAAAATGAATGACGGATTAAGAACGCATGACGCTCGTAACTATATATAGAATTTATTATTTTACACTAGTATTAACAGAGTATCATTTTTTATATTTTACTACTCTGTAAACTTCCCTCATTCCTTATCTTTTGTTTATCCTTCATAGTTTGTTCTTACTTTTTGAAATTTATATGTTAAATTTGTAATTATTCCTATTTTTTAATTCATAGAAGCATTTTTCTGGCAGACATATTCAATTTTTTTTATCATCATCATTTTTTTATTATTGTTTTTTCCCCTCTTTGTTAGTTATCAAATCATTTACATTTGTAGTTTCTTTTTGTTGTGTTCCTTTTTAAGCAAACAAAATATATATAGAACTAAGGTGTAATATTCAATTCAAACATATGGAACCAACATCGATTCATTTTTAAAACAAAGCAAAATCATAAGCTTATACAACTTTCACTTTTGCATACACTTACCTTAAATAAATTGCTGTGTCATCCTGAAGTTTGTCTTCCCTAATTTTTCCACGTGGCAATATGAATATATTTATCAATTATCTTATATACCATGGTATATATCTACTAGCCGAATGACCCGGGCAACGCCCGTGTTTTACCCGATTGAATGTTTTGATTCAAATACTATTTGTTACAATTATAAATTGGCGCCTTAATTAATTGCATATGTTAGTTAATAACTATAGCTTATGTGCTTTATCTGTCTATGTACTGTTGGCTTCCGTAGGCGTCTCTTACTGGGAAAAAGAAAGAGAGGATTCCATTTGGTTATTATCTAATATATGCATTTATTTAGGGAGCGACCCGCTCCAACACAATAGTTAAATGGCGAATGGGGGGGGGGGGGGGGGGGGGGGCAAAGGTGGCGTGACCGTAGCCAACCAATAGGAGGGCGCCATTCAAAAAAAAAAAAGCAAACGGTGACAGAGTTGATTGATTAGGAGATGAGGAATGACGCTCGTAACTGTATATATCTATATTTATCATCCACACAACACATATGTGAAAAAAATCATATAATATTGTTTATAGTTGGAAGTTTTTAGGAGGAAGGGGATTTGTTTTATAGAAATAAAGGTCGCCTTTTCCTTCAACACGCTTGTTCGGCGCTACATATACTAAAAATGGAACGATACAGAGAAGATTAGCATGGCCCCTGCGCAAGGATGACACGCAAAATCGTGAAGCGTTCCTCTACCTTCAAAATAGACCCTAAAACCGCTTCTCGGTTTACCAAAAGGCGGTGTTGTGGCTTTGTAACCAACCTGAGTTCGCTAGTATGTAGAGACAATCAATAGATGGTGCCTAGTTCTAACGTCTATTTTGACGGGAGAGGCAGCCTTTTAATAAAATCTTGTTTATATCTTGAATTTAACGTTATATAACCTTATAGACAATATAAATGATAACTACAGCTAACTATGTATTCCTTAGTTATTTTATAGTGGCCTATATTTATTTGTTTGTTTGTCCTCTTATTAGAGATATATATTTCTAAAATATTTTGTCTCCATTTGTATAATAGTTAATATAAATATTTTTATATCTATAATTGAGAGAGTTAAATAAATTTAAAATATTTGCAGAGTTTCTTTATTAAGGTATCGGGAGGCAAGCTTTCGCGCTTCATCAGGCCACTGGCTCCGCAAAGGCGTGCAACAGATACAATAGAGATTCACAGAAATACCTTTAAAAAAATCAAAAATAAAAATAGTTTCCAGTTGTAGAAGGTACAGTTTCAATGGGGGTTGGCATCATCTGTGTTGAATATGCTGGAACTGTTGGGGTAGATCTTCTGTTCATGCTATTATTGTATTTGGAGATTAAAGATTCTAGAATGAGTCTATTGTATTTGGATAATATATTTTATGTGACATCTTGTAGGTTGAATTGATGAATTGATTTTTATATCTATAGAATTTCATAAAATTATGTAAAATAGTATCAGGTTATATTTAACTCGTGTTCTATTGGCGTACCATTATACCAGGTTTTCTCCTGTAGAAGGGCGTACGTGCCCTAAAGCTAGAGAATAAAAATGTTTTGAAAAGATACTTTTCCCTGGAGGTCTGATGGATTTTACTCAATAAAATAGGAGTTTCAATCTCTACATATATTTATCTAATTAGAATATCGCCCTATATCTTACCCTTATAAGGATATACAGTATACTCTCCTATAACGCGAGTTTTTACAACGCGATAAAAAAAATTGCGACAAATTTATTTATACAACGCGAAATTTCGTATAACACGTTATAAAATAAAATACATGATATTTGTCACTAACAATTTACCCTAACAACATTCACGTTATACAAGTTTTATTTCGTACAACGCGAATTCCTATAACGCGATTTCATACAACACGGAACACATTAATCGCGTTATAGGATAATTTACTGTATTGTGATTTCTTCTTGTTATATTGTAATCGGTGTACAGTTGGTATTCAATTTTGGTTGTGTTTCCTTAGGTGCTTTCCTTGGTATTGTTTTAAAGAGAATTATCGTGGAAGATATATCTGTACTTGTAGATCTAGTAACGGTATCTACGTGTAGGATTGTAACGTGGTGTTATTTAAATGTTTAAGTTTGGAAATACATCAGAGAATTCGAGAGTTCAAACAGACGAACAAATTTTAAACATGACTGTAGACATGACCCAGCAGGAAGTGACTCAGAGTGTAACTTTGGTATTTTAGCTAGAT